GGATGTCAGCAGCTGGTGGTGAATATAGAATCTTTCTGACTGATAAACCAGACACTGGGAATATGGCTTATGTGTGCAGGCAAATGGGCTTCTCAAAACTACGCCACAGAATTGGACACTCAGCCAGTTCAGCTCTGGCCACTGCAGGACTCTCTCAATCACGGGTTGTCCCTGGAAAACTGACAGCCACCGGGAACGAGGAAGAACATGTGGTTTCTGTGTGCAACTCCTCTCCAAAAAAGGAACAAACTGGGCCACACCTCCCCATTTACCCTTTCAGGGAGGCAGAAGCGAGTGGGGAGAGAAAAGCCAAGAGTGTTCTAGCTGCTGGTGCTGTATCCAAACAGAAGGGAAAGTAGGAATGAGGAAGACATTTGCTTTTTCCTCTGGCTCTAGTCTGAGTCTCCTCCAAACAGTGCAGAGCTTGAGTTCAGGAGGTTTGTTCATGCTCCAGTTAGCACAAGTGGAGTTGGGAGTGATGAAATGAAGGTATTGTAGATAGGTTTTTCCAGAAGCAGGGGCCATGAAGACTTTGAAGTGCATGATGTTTCTTAGGGATCAACATCTGCAAAAGAAAGGGTGCAGCAGCAGGACTAGCAGTGATAGTATGACACAGGCCTGACAAAGCCTTGGCTTATCTGGAAGGGGGCTCAGGAGAAAGTATTGTCAACTAGCACTGTCCTGCATGAGACCAAAGGGACCACAACTTTGTGCCCTCATCTCACATTGTCACCACATGTGAGCAGCCCAGGAAGCGTTCGACCTTGGGCAAGGCAATTCTGACTCAGGTAGACCCTGAAGGAGCCAACAGAGGAGCTGCTAGTCACATTCTCTGAAGCTATACAGTGCATTTCCTCATCTACCAAAGAAGAAAACCCAAATTTTGTATTGAGAAAGATGCTGCTTGGGCACCTTTTTTGTTTGTTTGTTTGTTTATTTTGTCTTGGGAATTGAACTCAGGTCCTTGTGCTTGAAAGGCACACAGCAGAACCACTGAGCCAAATCCCCAGCCGAGGCCACCTGGGGTTTAATTTGCACTGGGACTCTCTGAGCATCTGCTAATCAGATGCCTCAAAATTGTCCTAAGGCATGGAGAAGCTGGGGTGTTTCTTCATTGACTGCTACCTGTCATGGGTTGAGGGTTCTCCCTGGGGCATTGAAACCCTAGCATATCCAGGCTTCCCCATGTAACAAGCCATTGTGGCACCAGAGAAAACCCTCAAGCAGAGAGATTCAGGTAGATTCTTGAAGTGACAGGTTGTCTACCATAGATCAGCTCAAAGGCACACCAGGGCACATGAGGTGGCATCGCCAGCCTCTGCCACACCTTTGACTATGCTTAGCAATGTCATCTGTGCTGAAGTAAGGCTAAGTAGAAATCCTGAGTTTCTGCTTCATCTTTGGGTTGTTATTAGTGGATATATGGTTCTACGACTGGCCCAATTCCAGCAAATGTTGTCTCCAGTACTCACTCAAGAAGTAGAAACAGAGTATGGAATGATAACCATTGGTGCTATGAGGTATGGGACGTATTAATCCCATTGGGACAAGAGTATGCAATTCAGGTTGCATTTAGAACAATCTTTGACTTTCAACAGAGGTAAAGAGTCTTCACAGAAAGAATAAGTGTTTGCTTTGAAAGGTAACTGAGCCTCTTACAAGTCCCTCAGTAGTTCAGTGTTAACCCTGCACACAGTGGAGAAATCTCGAGGGGGATCAGACTTGGGTGCTTTCACTGACGAGGGCTGTCTGCCTCTACTCCACTGGTATAATCTACAGAAACAAATGTCACATCTATGAGTGCCTGTAGATAGACTTCTAAAAACTGAGGTTGTTGTATGGCTCCTAGAACTAAGCTAGAATTTCTACCCTCTTTTAATAGACTTGTTTTCCCCAGTGTTTGAAAGAGACTTATCCCTTCCCTAAAGTTAAGACCCCAAGGGTCTGGGGCAACAGGAGTTTCCAAGAAGAGCTGGCTGGGATCATAGACTCCTTAATACTTCTATGTTTTGTCTGCACAGCAGTATCTTCTGGACTGTCCTCCAATATCCCCTTATCCTTCGGGGTTAATAAGGCGTGAGCCATCTGTTCTGTTTCTGTGATACACTGTGCTATCCAGGAAGCTGATGCTTTTCTCCTGCCTGGGAAGAACATGGGTCAATTTGGGAATGCTTTTCTCTTATTAGAATACATGCTTCCAGCAGCCTGCATGGTGTAACTGGATAGAGAGGCAACATACTTGTTTTCATTTGTCTCTGTCCTTGGGAAACTGCATATTATATAATAAAATGGACCGAGAGAAGAGAATATCATAGTATCATAGTATCTAGAATATGAATAAGATGGAAACAAAAAATAAAAGTATAATTTCATGAGCCTATTGACCTGCCAAAATTGAAGCGAATTACCCACCCTGGGGTTGAACCCATAGCCTTCACGGTGAACTAAACCCCAGCCTTTCTTTTATCTCTTTATTTTGTAATAGGATCTCTCTATGTCACACAGTCTGGGCTTGAATTTGTAATCCTCCTGCCTCAGCCTCCCAGATTTGTGAAAGGAACTCTAAGCATCCACTGAGCTTTTATATTCCACCTACCTGACCTGACCCAAAGCTCTAGATTCTTATTAGACACAGAGGATCAAGAATAAGGAAGGAATATTTGACTTTAAATCTTAAGGATGCCTCTGTCTCATCTTCCTCAATTCAGGAAATGAAGCCATCATTTTCCTTGGCCCACATAGCTAATCCATTATCAAGTCCTATAGGACCTAATTCTAAAATATGTGGATTGAGCCCATTATTTCACTACCACTGTCCACACCTAAACAACTTTCTCCCTCCCTTTATTGTCCTCTGACTCCATTGTTATTTCTCTCAAATAGTCCTCTGCAAAGTAGCTAGCATGATGTCTTTTTAGAAACTAAAATTTATTCATGCCATCCTTTTACATAATACGTGTCATTGGCTTCCCATTGCATTTAGAATTAAATTCAAATGGTTTATGTACTATAAATAATTGTTATTTCTCAAATAGTCCTCTGCAAAGTAGCTAGCATGATGTCTTTTTAGAAACTAAAATTTATTCATGCCATCCTTTTACATAATACGTGTCATTGGCTTCCCATTGCATTTAGAATTAAATTCAAATGGTTTATGTACTATAAATCCTACATGATCTGGCTACTCCTGTTTTTCAACTTTCTCTCATTCAATTTTTTCTCCCTCACTGAACCTGCCTTGTATAATGAACTGCCTTAGATTGGGTTCCCCTGAAAGCAGACTCTGAGACTCAGATTTGAATACTCCATTCTAGCAGAAATCCCAGAAAGCTCAGTGAAGAAAAAGAAAGTGAGATAGAGAGGAAAATAAGATTTTAAAATAGGCTTTCATTTGTCATACTACTATGGATAGTTGGGGTTCAATCCCACAGGAGATCCTTAAAAAACAATATAAACTACACTTTGAATTATCTACCTTTGGGCTGAAAAATGAGAATTCATCCATCTACTTTCATCCCTCATTAGTTGAGAGTAATGTCTGAGAATATTTTTTTATTAAAGATTGCAAAGATACAGGAAAACAAGAAATGAAGATAGGAAATAAAAATTTCAAATATACATATATATGACAGCAAAAAAGGATATGAAATAAATAAGAATTTATGTAACAGACTAATTGAAATACAGTAGTTTGATATGATCTTCAAACATGTTCTTTCTCATTTTCTTATAATATTTTTGAAATAATGTAATTCTAAATAAAACAAAGTTACATATTATAGTTGAGAAACTGTCCTCAAAATTTTGATTTATAAACACCTTGGTTTTATTAATTGATAAATATCATATACTTGTTGATTGTACCACTTACATTTTCTAAGAAAACTTCCCACAGAAAAAAATATACTTATATATTATATTTGATCCAAAAGCAACTAAAAAATTCACATTTTTAAGATCAGATTTTTCTGTTTCTATTTTATTATATCCCATACTTATTTTATTATATTGTTATAAGCATAATGATAGAATTTAACACCAATAGATATGAAATATTCTTCCCAAGTGAATGACTATGAATTAAGTCAAGCATGTAATTTAAAGAAATCATAAGGTTGCCAGAGAAACAATCAGTATGCCAAATGTGCACAATCCTACCACATTCATGCCCATGTTTCTCATTTAATAGTGCGCACATATATGTAAAATCATACCCCCCACACATATACACAATGCATATTTTCTACAATACAATATATACTTAGGTATAATAAAATAGTGCAGTGATGTGTGGAATGCTGGTGATTTGTATAATTTGAGAAAAAAACAAATATCATCTTTGAAGGAGTTGGAGAATTTGTAATGTGTACCAGATACTAAATGATATTAATGATTAAGTACAGTTATAATAAAATTTACTTAAAAATTAATATTTGTCATCAGTAGAAAATAGGTACAAAGATATATTGATAACATAAAAACATTTATCTTAACAAATCTCCAACCAAACAAGCTGTAGTGACAGAAAAGGAAGTTTGTAGAAAGCAGAGATGAACGAGGAAAATGACAGATGGACCTTAATCCTTTTCATACTACTCATATATACAGATTTCAGAAGTTCTCAAATAAAAAAGTGAAGAAAATGAGAACCAAAATAACTCATCAATTTGGTAGACCAACATATAGAGACAAGAATTAATGTATTGATAAATTTTAAAAATATGAAATGTAAAGCCTGATATTGAGCTCAATAGTGCTGCACCTGCCTAGCCAGAACAATATGCCGAGTTTAATCCCCAGCATCAGAGAAAGAAAAACAAAAAGGATAAAAAGAAGAAAAGAGGTGGGGGGAAGCATATATGACGGGTTCCCTCACCCGCTCCTAGCCAGGGTATGCCGGGGCGCCCCTCCCTGGAGGTATTGCCACCAGATTCTGCCCTACTCCCCGTCCCGGTCACTCCTGTTACCTCTCTTAACTGTTTGTGGTGTCTTTGCTGCACATGAAGGATTGGGGGCCCGAGTACTTGTCAGGTCGTGAAGGAGTCCAGCTTCTCGGATTGTTGAGCTTCTACCTAGAACAAGAACAGAGATTCCAACCTCAAGAAAAGGGGCTGAGCTTGATTGAGGCTACCCCAGAGGTGAGTTCGCCGGCAGATGGCTTGCTCAAGAGCCTGAGGCCTGGGAGGCTCACAGCCCCCCAACCTCCAGTTGAATCAAGACTAAAGGCCTGAACAAATCTCTAAATACCAAAATTGGTCTTTCTGATGATCTAAGATAATCTCTATACTGTACGCGGTTGTGCTTTTGTTAGCAGAAATGGAAATAATAAGTATAGAGAAATGTTTCTTCAAATGTTGGCACCCTTAACCTACAGATGCTGGGTGGGAGACCAGTTCATTTCCTATCCTCTGCCTATGAAGTATTTATAGTAGGATCTTAAATGATTTTAGAAAAATAAGAGTGAAGAATCCTCTTACCTCTCTTTCAGGGGAGTTGCATTATACTGTTTGCTACAACCCTCTGAAATATGGCAAACGTTTACCTTATAGTGAGTTGCTAAATCTCTATGACGTATATTTTTAAGAAGCAGTGATTTACGTTTTATATCTGATACAGCCTTTCCTAGCTGATATACCTCTTCTTTTCATATTATTGAAAATTAAAGGAGGAAAGTACTTTATTCATTGAATTTGTGTATTCATCTAGTTCTAAGAAAATGATAAACTTTGACTCATGATTTTTGTTGCAGAATGATAACACTTTGTGTTCAAGATTGAGAAATGCCAAAGTAGAAGATTTGAGGAGTTTAACTAACTTTTTTGGATCTTGCACTGAAACTTTTGTCCTGGCTGTCAATATTTTGGACAGATTTCTGGCTCTTATGAAGGTATTTAATTATGTTTAAAAATACATTTTCATTTTTCTATGTCCAATGCCTGGTACATAGGGTTCAATAATTTATCAAGTGAATCAGATACTGCCTGTTTTATATATAAACCTTTGTAATTATCAGAATTGTAATCCTTAATGCTGGACTCAAAACTATAAAGTTAATTATATTTTGTATGTAAAGTAGGGTGTGTTGTACCTCTTAAATATTTTCTCTTGGAGGATGTGACAAAAGGAAGACTACTATTTTGTATATGTGTATATATACATATACGTATACATGTGTATGTATATGTATATGTATATATATGTGTGTGTATATACACACACACACACACATACACACACATGTACATATATATGATCTTCAAAGTAAGATTTTCATTTCTTGGGTTTCATTTGGAGCTTAGATGTTTTAAATACCAAAACATGACAAATGAAATACAAAACTATATTAAAGGTGACTCACTGCTTGCGCTGTCTTTTCAAGGCAGAGAGCTACAGTCTTACTAACAATCACCAGCAACTATTAGAAAAATGTGGTAGTTCTTCCACCAGTAGGATTGCTGTCAGCTGTGGGGTCAGTGTTGGGGCACTGAGAAGAAATAACAGCCATCTGTCTGGCAGCTTTGCATATGTCCCATGGGCTTCACAAACTGATGTAGTATATCTCTTGGGCAGCATTATATAAAGTACGGGTTTCTGCAGACAAAGGCAAAATGGGGGAAGTATTGTTTTTATATCCAAAGACTTTTTTGTTGTTGTTGTTGTTGTTTTTTGGTGTTAAAAGAGGAATTCTTTTGAGAGAGATCATATTATTTTGAGCTTTTTAAGTCTGAAATACAAAGCATAAAATTCTGCTACAAAACAGTTTTGGAACCTGCTTTGAATTTTTTTTTTTTGGTATAGGCATTCGAACTCATGATCCTGCAGTTTTTTTTGTTTTTGTTTTTGTTTGTTTTGTTTTGTTTTTTTTTGATCTTGCGCTTTTGAGGCAGTGCCACTGAGCTAAATCCCAGCCCCCTGCATTGAATATTTTTTTAACCTGCATTTTTGATTTAAGTAATTTAAAGACTCACAAAGCCTTTTTTTGTTTGTTTTAAGGGAAATCAGCAAGATCTGCAATGTAAAAAATGGGTATAGTTGTGGGTAAGGACAAGGACAAATACATGTATTCGAAGCAGCTTGATTTCTGTCTTAAATGTAGAAGCATCATTACAGTATTCTTTTGAGCTTCTGCTTTGTTAAAACTAAGTAAGAGTTGTTAAAAGAATCTTTTTCTTTTTTCTTCAGGTGAAACCTGAACATTTATCCTGCATTAGAGTCTGTTGTTTTTTGCTGGCTGCTAGAATAGTTGAAGAAGAATACAATATTCCATCCATTCATGATGTGATCCGGATTAGTCAGTGTAAATGTACTGCTTCTGACATAAAACGGATGGAAAAAAATAATTTCAGAAACATTGCACTATGAATTGGAAGCTACTACTGCCTTAAACTTTTTGCACTTATACCATACTATTGTGTTTTGTCATAATTCAGAAAGGTCAGTGGGATTAAATATAAAAGTTTCATACTTCAGTGTTGCTATAAGTAACAGTAAACGTCAATAAAATTTATATTTTGATATTGCCTACACTTTCATGTTGGACTTTTTAATGGTGCATCTTTAAAATTGTTTAAATCTTTGCCTTTTTTTCCTATTGTATAGGAAAGAGATATTGAGCCTTGATAAACTAGAAGCTCAGCTGAAAGCTTGCAACTGCCGACTTGTCTTTTCAAAAGCAAAAGCAAGTCTGTTTCTTGCTGATGTATGTCTCACTTTGTTTTGAATTTTTAAAAAACATTTCTTTTTTCACTTTTTTTCTGGCCATCTGTTTTAGCTTTGTGCCTTCTTAATTTGGAAGTGGAAACTTTAAAATCCATTGAGTTCCTGGAAATTCTCTTGTTTGTTAAAAAACGTTCCACGGTAAATATCTTCATTCCTTATTCTTTAAAACAATATTTTTTCCTGATGTTTCCGTTTTTTTCTGTAGTAACTTAAACATTTAAGTGACACTTTGTGGGGTTCTTTTACATTCTGTGTGTGTGTGTGTGTGTCTAAAGTGTGGTAGTTCTCAGAATGCAGCTTTGACCCAAATACTGTTAAGGTAAAGGGAGCTCTGTCACTTAGCCCAGCATCTCTGTTCATGTAGGTGTCTCTGCAATATTCATGCTAGGTGGTAATCCAGCCGAATACCCTGCCACATCGACACTGTTCCCTAAAGGGATAAAATGGGATCCTATCATACCATGTATGGGGCTGAATAATCATCACTTTACCTGTAGTAGCATAAACAAAATAATAGCAGTGTGTCTCTTTGTAAGCCTTTTAGGGAGGTCAGCTGAGTAAGTTTTTACAGTTGTAAAGTATAAAATAAAAGCATAGTCTTTTTGTTAAACTAATAGTCAAGGGAAATATGAAATTTAACAATGCCAGAAAAGAGTGACTATAGGAAGTACTTTGGGGTGGTTAGGGAAGAAATAGGGCAAGTCAAGAGAAGCAAGAGGTTGGAGTTCAGGAATTTTTTAGAGTGACATAATCGATGGCCTATATCTGGGCATGGTGATGCAGGTCTTATAATCCTAGTAGTGTAGGAGGCTGAAGCAGGAGGATTGTGAGTTTGAGCCCAGTCTTGGCAATGTAGCAACTTAGTTGAGACCCCATCTCAGAAATGAAAAAGGGCTGGGTATGTATCTCAGTGCAAAAGCCTTGGACTCAATTTGCAGTACTACAGAAAACAAGAAAGAAATTTGGTGGGCTATACAGATTTGGCAAGTCATTTTAGGGTAGGTTTTCAGATAGAATGCTATACAGTAGTCACATGCAGGAATAAGGGTAGCCACCTCAAATAGTTTTGGAAGCCAAGCATGAGAATGAGGCAAGGAATTATGAATTGCCAATTTTGGATCCAGTGATGGAGAGAATATTGGCATCATGGAAAGCAACTCAGGAATAAATTTGTATTGAACAAAAGTATGATTTTAGATGGTTGTATATCCAGGTATTTGGATGTTATGTGAGCATTTGGCAGTCTGTAATAAAAACTCAGAAAATAAAACATGATAAGAGATTGAGGATTGGAATTTCTCATGAAGCAGTGGATGCTGAAACCATAAGTACGTGCGGAGTCTTAGGGGTTAGTTGAAGTTCTGGAGTTTTCATCATTGGCCTTTTTCCCCATAGGTGCCAAGGGAATTCTATCTAGGTAAGAATGCTGTCAAGTTGGAAACCAGTTTTAAGAAGGAAGTGGTCAGGATTACTGAATTTTGATGAGAGGATCAGAATAAAGAAAATTGGAGGAAGGGCTGGGGATTTAGCTGAGTGGTTCTGCCACCTGCTTTGCAAAAGCAAGGTCCTGACTTCGATCCCTGGTAAAAAAAAAAAAAAGAAAAGAAAAGAAAAGAAAACAAAGAAAAAGAAAAAAGAAAAAATTGCAGGAAGTGATTGGACATACCTCAGTGGTGATAGAAAAGGGGTGGTAGGAGCCACATTGGGAGGTGTTAAGCTATAGATGCACTCTGGAAATAGAAGCCAAGATGGTATAAAAGTCTTCTGTTTATAGTAGTAGATGGGTTGTAAAACATTTTGTTGGTAACATAACAGCTTCTATTTTAATAACAATTTTGTTTTCATCTGAACTTTTTAAGATAGTGATACATGAAAGCATCTTCAGTGGAAATTGACTCCATGAAATAAACCGGGGTATTCCCCAGTGGTGGAGGAACTACTTTTTGGGACTTTCCTTTTCTCTCATGTTATTCATTTTTTTCTTTAGTCTATATCTGGTATTACAATATAAATTTACATTGTTAGCAGTCTAAACATTTCTTTAGATTCTGTAACCAAGATAATAAATTCCTTTGAATCTAGACAGTTAAAGAATATATTCGCTAGTTGCTTTATTAATAGACATGGTGTTAGTGGGTTAGTGTTTTCTGTTAGAATAGTCTTTCTCTGTGTATTGAATCCAATATAAATTATAATTCTGTCTTCTAAACCAGTGAGATCTAAATTTTGGCTGTAATGCACATTAAATTCACCTGAAGAACTTTAAAAGCTTGTGAAACCTGGGTTTAACTTCTACCATTTAAACCCTAAAGTGGGAGCCAGCCATCAGTGTGTTTTGCAGATCTTGTGGTGGTTCTAAGGTGCATCAAGGTTTGAGAACCATTGCTGTAACTTCTTTATTAAATTTTTTTTAGATTAATGTCACCGAGTTCTTTTATTGGAAGGAGTTAGTTTCTAAATGCCTAGCTGAATATTCTTCACCAGAGTGTTGCAAACCAGATCTTAAGAAGTTGGTTTGGATTGTTTCAAGGTGCACCGCCCAGAACCTCCACAGCAGTTACTACAGTGTTCCGGAGCTGCCAACTCTCCCTGATGGGGGCTGTTTTGATGGAAGCGAAAGGTAAGCAGGTTTATATACTCAAAGAACTGTGGAATACTATAAAATAAGGTATTGGGGAATGTCCGTTATCTAGTGGATGTCATTCCTTCAGGTGGGCAAATTAACCAGGTTTTGTTACAGTAGGTAGTAACTTACATGATCCCCTCCTTTTGTCTGTCTTCTCATTTTCCTTGGTCTTTGAAATATGGTTCAGTTAAAAAACAAAACCATAGTTGGCCGTAGTGGCGCATGCCAGTAATTCTAGCACTTGGGAGGCTGAGGCAGGAAGATAGCCATGAGTTCAAGGCCAGCCTGAACTATGTATATTGAGACCCTGTCTGAAAAAACCAAAACAAAACCACCAACTAAAAGAGAGTTTTGGGCTTTTTAGGTTAGCCAGAATTTCTAACATTGTGCTGTGTGGGGGTAGGTAACTGGAATATTTGAGAACCATCACCATCGATAGGGAAGACTTCATAGATGTTCATATAGTTTTGCCGGATGTTGTGATTTCAGACTTTAATGATTTTGTTTGTAAAGTGGATTATTTAATTTTAGTAAATTTGACTGTCTTACACACTTCAGATATAGGACCACAAGTTCCTTTTTCATAGCTTGCTAGTTTCTTGCTTGAGTGTTCGAGAGGGTCAGTGATGTAATTACTGATACAGTAAAGACATTTAATTAGACCATGGGTGCTAGAAGAAATGCTAGAAGCTTGCGTTTAGATACACTATAGTTTTTGTTTTTGTTTGTTTGTTTGTTTTTTGGTACCAGAGATCGAACTTGGGTCCTTGTGCTTGCAAGGTAGGCGGCAGAACCACTGAGCTAAATCCCTGGCAGCTCGCATTTAAATTAGATTTCTGCAGTTAGTGCTGCTAGGATTAATTGGTACGCAAGTAGTTTGGCAAATTGTAATTTGTATAAACCTCTTAAAAATCTGAATTTTCTAACGAAAGTGCTGTAGACTTCACTTTTAGAAGTCTTTATAAAAGAAATTTGGCTGCATAAAATGAAGCTGTATAAAATAAAGATTAATTTTTGACTCCATACATGTAAGACTAGAGAGATACTCATAGACTCTAGCAGTTTTAGTTTCATGTTGTCTGTAAAATCTCTGCATTGTAACAAGACCCTCTATTGTCTCTTTTCCCTGCAGTGAGGACTCTTGTGAAGATATGAGTTGTGGAGAAGAGAGCCTCGGCAGCTCTCCTCCCAGTGATCAAGAGTGCTCCTTCTTTTTCGACTTCAAAGTGGCACAGACGCTGTGCTTTCCGTCTTAAAGCTCTGATTGTTTCGTGTCAGAATGTACCCACCTAGGCAGGAATTACATAGACTGGAATACCTACCTTCTGTTTATTAGCAGATCAGATCGGGCCTGTTTCCATATTTAATCCTAAGCCATCAAATGGGTTAGTGCCTCCAAACAGTTAAACAGTACTTTAGACCTTGGCACTTTATTTTTCTTGTTGATCTTTAGCTACTTGGGAGAGAAGGGAAGGTGCTGATACCTTTGTTACTTTTCAGGATTTTTAAAGATGAATAGTGTAGCCTAAACTTCTTATAAAGCCTTCAGGTGTCTTTATTCAACACATGGGGGGCTATACAAGTGCTTCCTTACAGGGATGATGGATAATCCTTAAATGGTTTATATTAGATTTCCTTCCCCTTCTATTCTCAGAACAGATTCTACAGTACCCTTTAATGTCAAACACCTATTTTGTTGTTTTTTAAATGATCAGTGTACTATCGGATGCATATCCCATATATTTAGGAATTACAATAATGACATCTCTGTGAATTTAGTGCATAGTGTCCTAACTGAGGTTTCTGCTAAAGCAGAAATAATTGCCAGGCTAGGGCGAGTAGATAGTTGCATTCTTACTGCCTAAGTATTGTCAGACTATAGTATTTTAATGTTTAAAAAATTCATAATCTGCTAGTTTTGCATGTACCTGTATGAGAGCAGTACAGAAAGTTGAACAGAGCTAGAGAACGGTGGAATTGACAAATGTTGATTTAGTAGCATATTTTATCATTTTCTTATTAAAAATGCATGATTATATTTTATTTTCTTTGTAATTCACGTTTCAGAAATAATATGTATTAATGTATGGGTGCAAGATTTGACTGTGAAGTGAAAAGAACTGAAGTATTTGTAGTATTACAGTCTTAAGCAAATCTGTGGTGACACAGCCATGAGAATGGGAATAGATAAACTGTACACATAAAATTTTGTTCAGAGAATTTTTAACTTTATAAACTGTATATGAAAGTGTAAATCTTTAAAAGTGTACATAAAATACTGTATTTTTTTACTGTGTGTTAGTCTAGTTGTTGCATGTAAATATAATTTATTGTGTATCCAGTGTTTTAATCAGACATTGACTTTTTTTACTGGTAAGTCAATGTCCATTGGATGTTTTCCAGAGTGGGCCTTTTTGAAGTGATAATAGATAATAATTCAAAATAAAAAGTTGAATTCTCCTTGCTTGTAACTACGTATTTTTAATATTTTTGTTTTAATTTTTTGTGTGGTGTGGTACTGGGGATTGAACCCAGGGATTTGTGCAAATTTGGCAAGATCTCTACTACTGAGCTTCTCCGCCTGCTCAGCTTGCTGTGTTTCCATGAAAAGTGCAGCTGCAGTGCCTCTAAGCCTTCTACCACAAGTTCTCTAAGCAACAAATTCCTCGCCATAGTTTGGCCCTTAACCTTACTGAAAATGATCTGTCACTTGAGAATTCACCTCTTTCTGGGATGGACTCTTATCAAGCAAGCTCTCAGAGACTATTAACTTGAATGCCTATTCATTTATAGTGAAAGGCAACAGGTATCAAGTAGTCTGGAATGTTCAGAATGGCAGAGCTGAACAGTTTTTCTTGGGACAAACCAAATATGTAAAGGTAATAGGGCCCTGCTGTTAGCGGGATTTGGCAAGGGAATACATACAGGACACAGATTATTTTGTGATAATTACCCAAAGGTCAAATGCAAATGAGTGCAAGAGATTAACTGCATGCTAGAAGCCCAAAACAATTAACTGAGGGCCTAGGTCCCAGCAGTTTCCCCACACAAGTCCAGGTAAAGGCTTAGAGTCCAACACACTGTCCTCCTTGAATCCAGCCAGTGGCTTAAAGCCCACAGCAGTGTTTCATGCTTGTTTGTATTGAGGATTTTCACTTGAAGGTCCAAGGCCAGTGGCCAGAAAATCTGTGCTGGTGAGATAAAGGATCTGTGCCACCAAGCTGAGGGATCCTCATTGGAGCCAGAAAGTGATGCTCATGGTGAAGATCAGAGCTCCCCTGATGAAAGTAGCAGCCATTCCCAGGGACAGCGAGGTCCTGAGCTCCTGGGATGAGAACAGCCAAGTTCAAATCAGGAAAACCATCTGCCAGCAAGCTTCTAGTAAATCAACAGGCCCTCTAGTCCACTTTTTATGGCTACTGGCAACAATCTTCAGGTGGATCCTCCACTCCCAGACCACACTAATTGAGTTCAGCTGGTTGTTGCAAATTGCCCATTACTTCACCACACCCACCAACCTCCAGGCATAAGTCTTAGGTTATTTTGCAAGTGTTCTTTGTTTTTGTGTAAGTATTCCATCTAGTTTGATTTTTGTGGAGATAAGTTTTCGCTAGTTGGTTAGAAAATCAGGTATACTGAAGAGTTTTCATGTAATACCTCTTTCTTCCTGAAAATATGGGCATGTTTTCCTAATCTCCCAGTGGAGAATCTCTGCTTGAGGATGACCTTTCTCTTGAACAGTTTTGGTGGTGGGAAATATATTTGGCTTTCTGATTTTGATTTAAGATGTAAAGTTTATTTGTGGCTTTTTAAATCTTGTGACCCTCTTCAGTTCTTCCAAGGGAGTATTGGTTTCCTCATTAGATGATTTTTCTAGGTGAATCTGTCCATGGCTTCTTTATCTGATTTTTAGTATAGTTAGTTTAGACCTTATTACTGAGCTCCCTCCCTATTTATTCAAAACTAGGCGTTCTACTTGGAAGTTTTGATTACTTCTAAACTTGTTTTTCCTGTATGTCTATGTTGGTGAAAAAAGACCTGCTCAAGTCATTACCTTATGTGATAATCCTTATCTCCTTCGGCCTGTTTACTGGACAATCACCAGCTTCTATCATAATGATTTTGTTTAGATCTCTTTTTCTCAGTCTCCACCTTCTTTTGCCAGTGTCTTGAATTAGACCTGTGTCACAATCTGTATCAGTGAGGTTACTTAAGTATCTCAGTGAGGTCTCATTCCAGGCTTATTCCTGATCTCTACTTTGCTGTCTACATAGCCTTTGAAAATTTTAACTGTCCTGAAAAAAATAGGCCCTAATGAAATCAGGTGAAAATCTATGTGGGGCTACAAGTCTTTCTGGTCTACACCTGTCTCTGATTTGTCTTTCCTTGCTATTCCCTAGAGCTAAAAAAAGATGTATGTTAAAGATAACTGTGGCGGCTATGCCGAAGATGGACTGGAGACTATAAAGATGTAGAATGCAGACGAGCAACAAATCTGAACAAAAATCCAGGAGAGGTAACTTCGGTATCCTCAGCTGCACCACAGTGGAGGAACCACACAGCAGAGAGTGAAGTTGAGGAAGAGATACAAATTGAGAGATCCTCTTTCTTTAGGCATTGTTAGGGACTTGTCCAGGAGCCTGGTCATTCCTACCCGTTTTGCTATGACTGAAATGAATAAAGTTTAGACTCGGGCATCCAGTTCATTATGATTCGAGGGTGAGAAGGACTTTGGCTTCGTTCTTCGTTAGTCATTTGGTGTTACTTCATAAGAGTTGGCTTCGTAGTTTTGGTGTTGTTACTTCTTAGGATATGGTGTGTTTGCTTTGCTACTCCTACTGTAGTGCATGGTGGAGTAGTGTGCCAGCCCATTTCTCCATTTGACCCTTTATCTCCAGGAATCAAGACTGGACAAATAAAATCTTTCAATTCTCTGTCACACCCAGAGCTAATACCAAGTTGACTATAGAGGCATTGGCTAAACACTTAATAATAACTTTAACCATTTTCATGGTTCTGGGCTCTGCCTTTTTCTTTCAGTTCCTTTCATTTCTACTCCGATATGTTGTACCCCTTACATACCATCTCTCCCACCACACATGCAAACTGTCACTTTATACAATCCACTTAAATTTTTATGTGGATTAAGACAATAAACTTGAATTTGTCACTTTTGAGCTCCATGTTTCTTTTCTTTTTTTTATTTCCTTCATTTTTCTAATTAGTACCAGAAATGATCAACAACTATCTTTGTGTTTAGGAAGTCAGATTGTTTGGTAGTTTCTTCATATGACAGCCGATGAGTTTCCCATCCCTGGTATACTTGCTCTTTCCATCAATTAATGGAATTTTGTCTCCCTTGAACTTTGGCTGCCCTTGTGATTGGCTTTGCCTATAAAAGTGCAAGAAATTAGGTACATGTTCAAGACTAGGCTAACAGTAGTCCTTTTGTCCCTCCTGGAAGCCAGTCACCATGCTGCAAAGGAGCTACAGCTGGATTATTATTTTTTAACATTTACTAATGGCAAATATTTTTATTACAATTTACATATTAGTTAAATTATATATAGAATTTTAGCTATAAAATCCCAACAAACTGGTTTGAAGAGGCCGATTTAAAGTTTCTAGTCCCCTAACTTCACCTTCCTTAAATTATAAAAAAATCTGATAGTTTTGATTTCAAGTTACAGAGGAAGAGGTGTCATCACATTTCACCACTCGGAAACGCAGATTCCACCTGTCCATACGCTTCCTTTCCCATGCTACACTGATGCTGGAAGCACCATTATGAGACTAGACTGTATGAAGTGTTTACATAAAACCACCCATGGGCCGGGGATTGAGCTCAGTGCTTTGGTGGCCTGCCTCGTAAGCACAAGGACCCGAGTTCAATACCCAGTACCAAAACAAAACAAAACAAAACAAAAAAAACCCTCCCTGAATTTGCTTTTAAAGATTGGCAGGGGCTGAGGGTTAGGGGTGGATGTCACCTGAACATTTACAGGTGGGGTGACAGTGCCGTCAATCTTTCCTCCCTTCAGAACAATTGTAAAGAATCCCTATCCTTATCACTGTCCGATCGCATCCACGGCAGGGTGGTATAGGGGAGAATTCCTAAGTAAGGTTTTATGCATTAGGTTGCGAGGGTGGATTCCCATGAAGTTCAGTGAAGACAAAGATATCTCATTATTTTCCAATATGTAGAGGCCTGAAGTGGAAATTCACAAAACACACAGAATTAGGGCTCTGCAGCAGAGATCTGTTAGGGGCTGCACTC